CCTTTCCATCAGTTCAGGCTTTTGGTTGTGTTGGCTAGTGTATGAAGCTTAACATGGTATCAGAGCCTAAGGTCTTGAGTTCAAATCATGGCTTCCGCAATTTATCCAAAATTTGCGGTTTCCCCCTTTGTGTCCACATATAGGCCTCCCGAGCCATACCTCTATGTCTATCCACGTGTTGACTTTCCGCGTCACACGTGAGAGGGGGTGTTGAAGTGTATATGTGGATTGCCTAGCCCTTTCCATCAGTTTGGGTTGTTGGTTGCGTTGACTAGTGCATTAAGCTTAACAGTTGGTACGGGCCAGGCATGCATTGCATTGGTCTTGCTGGCGTCGGTGGCGACTCCATCCTTGGAGATCACATGCACAAGTAGTCGATACTCCGCTGCACAAAAGAGCACTTGAGGCCTTGACGTACAGTTCGTGCTGACAAAGAATGGAGAGCACCATGCTCAAGTATTGCTCATGCTCCTGCAGGTCAGTGTTGAAGACGAGAATGTAGTCGACAAATATGATGACAAACTTACAAATAAACTTGGCAAAGGCCAATGCTGAAGACGAGGATGTTGTCGAGAAATATGATGACAAGCTTACAGATAAACTTGGCGAAGATGGTGTTCATGAAGCATTGGAACATCGCCGACGCGTTGGTGAGGCCGAAGGGCATCACCCAAAAGTGGAAATGGCCATGATGGGTTTTGAAAGTCGTCTTCTCCTTGTCCTCGACACGCATGCGAATTTGGTGGTAGCCCGCACGGAGGGGTCTACCTAGGAAACATAAGATGCACCCGCGGGCTCGTCGTGGAGTTCTTCGATGACCAGAAGAGGAAATTTGTTCTTGACAGTGATCTTGTTGAGGCGGCGAAAGTCGATGCAGAACCTCCAACTACCGTCTTTCTTCTTGACCAGCAGAACAAGAGCGGCGTACGGGCTCATACTGTGCACGATCACGCCAAACTGGAGCAAGTCTTGAACTTGCTTCGCGATCTCTTCCTTTTGAGGAGGCAAGTATCGGTAGGGTCCAGTGTTGATTGGTGGTATAGAGCGGCGGCACGTGAGCCGTGGCTGGCGGTGTAACCGTCAGATCGGTGATGGTTGTGGCGCCGGGTGGGCGACATGGCACCCGCAGTTGCTGCTGCTGCAGAATCGAGCTCGTGACATCCACTTGGGTGAGGTTGATCTGTTTGGCGAGATTTTTGAGCTTGTGAGAATCCTACTTGTTGTAAGCGAGCTGAGCCTCAACGCGTTGGTCAGCGGTGGTTTGATTCGCGTGGAGGGATGGATGACGGTTTCGAGCAGCTTCTTCAACTGGTCAGTGGTTTCCGCCATGGTCGAGAGGACGTGGTGGGTCTGAGCGAACGGTTTGGATGGGGGTGTTGTCGTCTCGCTCCGAACCAGATCGAACCCCATGCAGGATTTCGAGCGATTCACCGAGATGAACCACACTTAACACGGTGGAGTTACCGACTGGTCAAGACAATTTGACAGCGGCGGCGGCGATCAGAGGAGGTAGAAGAAAAAGAATTGGAAAGGCCATGTAATGCCTGATGGATTGGGGATCGAGAGGAGGGGACTAGGTGAGAAGAGAGAGGGACCAAGTGGGGAAGCACGAGAGGGTAAGAGCGAGTAGCCGCAACTTTCTTACTGATAAAACCCTAACTGTGGTTTCACGCACGCTTAAGTAGCTACATGCCCTTGGGCCCTCGCAGGATTACATGGCCCATGGCCCAACTCGTGCGCTGCACTAGCCAATGAGTCCAATGTAGGTTCAGTTTTAGAGACCTGAACTGCGGACGTAGCAGGACGCTCCCCGGTGGCATGCACCGCGACGGTGAGGGTTCAATCCTTTCGTCTTGGATGGACAACAGGCTCATCCACCTGCGCCTCCCACCTCATCACCCCAAAGCTTGTGACCCGAGGCAGCTAATGTTGCTGCGGGGGGCACGCGTGGAGGTCAAATGGTAAGGCAGCGCACGCAACCAACAGCCTGAGCTCGCCGGACAGGCTGCTACTCGTTCAACAAGCTTGTGGTGCTCAATGAGAATGGCAGAAGCAGAGAGATTACTCAGTCCTCACTCGTGTTCCTCCAAGGTTCGCTGGAGCTCATCTATATTGTTCACTCAGAAATCTATTTGTCATTGATGCCATGCATGTGTATAACTGTATATCATATTAAATGTTGATCTAAGCCTAATTCAAAGCATATGAAAAAGGTAGGCGTGTCAAATAAATTTCTCCTAGAGGATTAATAACAACTCTTGAATAAGCGGGTGTGGCATATGATGACATATGAGACATGAGGCTCATTGCTGTTATACAACGCTCAACTTGCCATTATAATGTGTAAATCCAATCAGTTCTCTGTGTAAAATAATTAATTTGGTACCAAGAGAGTTGAGATGTGTGTAAAATCATAATATAGTTTGTACCATATCTGGCGAAGCAGCATAACTAAGTTAGCTGTGATGGGAGGAAATAAACTAATAATTGTCAATGTTATTACTGACCAAGTTGCCCTTCATGTAAGTCTTTAAAACACTCAATATTTGGGTGTAAAAATATTGCATTAATATTATTTTGTTGCCCGTAGCAAAGCACAGGCATTTAGCTAGTGAACATCTTAATCGTGTTGCACTTGAGAGGGGCCATCCTGTGCCAAATAGCATCAGCCACGCGTTGCATTCGCGAAATACATATTGTAAACAGATTTGGTTGAGAACGACCCATTATTTTCCTGGGAAATACAATGCAGTCGCATCTTCAAAGGTTGAGGGGAGGAACAACGTAGAATTACCTCAAAAATGACAGATTGGGTTTCCTTGTCTTCAACAATCAGTTCAAATGTTTCATTCCATTCAGGATTTAGGTTGTCATCTATGACTTTTGTTTTGACCTTGAACATGGGACGCACATACAGGGTCACGTAGGGATCAGATTTACCAATCAACTCCTTATTCTTCAGAGATGTTGCTTTTACTACAGTAACAGAAAGTTTTCCCTCAGGTTTAAGCTCCAGCTCACTGCAGAGAAAGTAAGTACAACAGTGGAAAATCAAAGAGTTAAAACTCAGTAAATGCCAACAGGATCTTAGACGTATACAAGGAAAGCTTCAAAAGAAATATGCGCAAAGGAGAACAATCAGAAATCCTTATAAGCTAGTCAAAGAAATCAAACCAAGAAATTATGTACTTGTGTCGGAATGTGTGTGCATAAAATGTTTTGCCGTATGAAATACATGTTGGATTGTGCAAAGAATATCTAGAGATGAAGAACAGCAAAGGCATTTCTGGGCACCAGGCAGCCCAGGTCATGGCTCGGGACGTAGAAACAATTCCTTGCCTATATTTTAGATGATACCACGTTTGGCCCTGGGCGCAGCCCATTACCTTGCCTTCTGGCTGGGCCTTCAGCAGTCAGTCCGGGGTGTCCACAATTCCTGGCTACGCCGTTGAAGAACAGTACTTAGTGTCTATTACAGGGGGGTGCATTTGAATGAGAACGCTAGATGAAATGATGCTCCGAAATAAAAATTTTAAGAACTTCATGGCTGTTGCCCAATCAAACTTACTGGATGGTAGCATGCTGATATATGGCCACACACACTGGATCGACTGGATAACAAAACTCTTGAGCACATCGGCCATAGTTGCCAACTGTTGAATCGGGACAGAGATGGCGGCTTGCACGCCCGTCACCACTTTGGCAATGGCGTCCTGCTTGAGATGGATAGCATGGACATCCTTGCGCAGATCCTCCATGTCACCTTTAAGTTCTGTCGTGTCTTCTCGATTTTGCAACACATCGCCGTTCATAGCAAGAAAATTAGGTATGTCACCTTCATCCACGCACATCTTCGCGCGCCCCATCCTGATCCCGGAGTGTCAGAGGAATTTTACAACCGGTTGCAGAAACCCGATCTGAAGCTCTGGACCCTTCGGGCACCGATGAATCTCGCCGTCACTGTGCAACACCACCCGCTGTAGGACCAGGGATTTTAGCACCGAAATGATGTGTTCCGGCAACCAGTCCTGCACCACGAGCTGTTGCTGAATGGGTCTACCGCCACCAGCGCCGCCAACACCACCGCAAGAGAGGGTGTGGAGGGTGGGAAATTACTTGCCTCACGCAGAACACTACGCCACCGAGGAGCCACCAGGCTCATGATACCAATTGTCACGCGCCATAACTAGATCGAGGTCGACTTGGGGGAAAGCTAGGGTTCGTAACTTGAGCACGAGAGTATAAGCATCAAATGTTATACGCTATATTAGCTGTAAAGTGTTTGGTAGAAAGAATTCTCAGAAATGGCATACGGTTACAAAGGAGAGGGCTGGCTTAAGAAGCTCAGCTGGCAAGGGAGGAAAGTAAATAGTGACGACAAGGTGAAACGATACAGTAAAGGTAAATAACGATTCGGTAGATGCGAGCAGGGCGAGCCATCGGATCTTATCGCGTTCTTCAATCCTAGCCGTCCACTTGCTGAAGATTAGAACACCCAGAACTGAATGTCTTGCAGCCTGACACCCTCCGCCCCCCTTCAACTGTGAGGCTTAACCCGGAAGCTGCCTCTGGAGGCGGCAAGGAGAGGAGATGAGGAGGGGGCGGCGGCTGCCATCT